TTCTTTTCTTTTCTTTTCTTTTTTCTTTTCTTTTCTTTTCTTTTCTTTTCTTTTCTTTTCTTGTCTTTTCTTTCTTTCTTTCTTTCCTTTCTTTCCTTTCTTTCTTTCTTTCTTTCTTTCCTTTCTTTCGTTTTGAGACAGAGTATTGCTCTGTTGCCAGGCTGGAGTATAGTGGCATGATCTTGGCTCACTGCAGCCTCTGCCTCCCTGATTAAAGTGATTCTCCTGCCTCAGCCTCCTGAGTAGCTGGGACTACAGGCATGCGCCACCATGCCCAGCTAATTTTTGTATTTTTAGTAGAGACGGGGTTTCACCATGTTGGCTAGGATGGTCTCGATCTCCTGACCTTGTGATCTGCCTGCCTTAGCCTCCCAGAGTGCTGGGATTATAGGCATGAGCCACTGTGCCTGGCCAAGAAAGGATAATTTTCTTAAGCAAATAAGAATAAAACTATAAGGATGCTACTGCTTCTTAAAGCGAAAACTTCCTAAGACACAGACACACGACAACAGAACACCAGGAAATTGAATGATAAATCTTTAGGGATTTCTTTTCTCAAAAAAGAAGGAAGGAAGAGGGAGAGGAGAGACAAAAGAAGGAGGAGGAGGGAAACGCATTTAGATCAGCAAAGCTATCCAGCTGAGCCCAGCCTGAGCTTGCTGAACCTCACAGATGTGTGAGAAGTAAACATCTATTGTATGAGGTTTTGTGGATACCGTTCAACAAAAGCCAACAGATATAATACCTGACTCACTAGGTACACCTACTGAGAGATCAAAGTGGATGGCACAATACTTACCTCAAAAAAGCTGGATGGCTCAGTCAGGAAAAAAAAAAAAAAAAACATCAAAAGCAGGCAATTTTGGAATAATACTAATCAAAGTACACATAAAGATTATTAGAAATGCAGTGTTCTTTTTCTCTAGAAATTCTGGCAAAAGCAAATAAAAATAATGCTAACGGCAAATTCTATGTGACAGCATTTGAATTCCTGGACTACCTGATTTTAAATCCCAGCATAGCCAATTACTAGCTGTGTGTTCTTGGGCAAGTTATTTCTCTGAGCCTTACTTTCCCCATGTGCAGAATGGGGATAGTAGTGTCACCTACTTTATAAAGGTGCTATGAGGATTAACTGTTATCCATGTGAGGTGCTTAGAACAGAACCTGACTAGAACCCAATGAAAAGCAATTGTTTTTTACTTTATGAGAAAAACAGTGAAGTGCCAATATTATTAACAGGGCCTACCTGTTTTAATATAAACAGTTTTGGTAGATATAAAAGTATATATTTACTAAGTACCATAGAAAATGCTGAAAACCCAGATGCTGCGACTGAGGGACCCAGCCTCACTGGGGGAAGCAAGATGTGTGTAGTAGAGAGCTAGCTAGGGTAGCGAGCAGTTCAGTGACAGCTTGGACAGGACGGATGCTATAGATGTGCCAGAGGGATTTAAGTGTATAACCATTGCAGTGTGCAGATGTTTTTCGGTTCATGCAGGGAGACACCTGGAGAGCTAATGAAAAGAAATTTTCAGTATGTTAGGACAAAGAGAAAGTAATAAGGATTTGCCCAATGTTAAACTAAATGTTGAGAGGCTGGAAAGAGGATTCAGATGTTTGGCCTTTACTTTTCTATAGAAGTTCTTGTCTCTGCACACCAGCTTCTAGGCAGGTCAGTGGCTTCAGAAGCTGGAGATTGGGAGAAGGTATTCATACAGTGAAAAAGCAACTGATGAGGTCAGCTATTCTCGGTGTTAGACATGCAAATTCTCAGGCTTCACTCTAGACCTGAAATTTAAGGGAGGGGCCCAGTAATCTGTAGTTTAGCAAACCTTCCAGGTGATTTAGCTGCACATTTCAGTTTGAGCCAGTGGCCTAGATTATACAAAGGAAGAACATGAAATAACAATTGATGATATTAGCTGAAACCACTTCATGTACTGTGCTAAGCACTTTACCTACAGCATGTCAGTCGAACCTTATAACATCTCTGAGGGTAAGTACTGTTTTTATCCCAATTTTCAGATGAAGAAATGGAAACAAATAAGTTTATTTACCTGTCCAAAGTCATATCTAGTAAATAGCAGAGCCGAAAGGGTATGACTGTTCATCTCTGTGAAATAGCATTTGATTGCTTACAAGTGGAAAGGAAACCAGTAGGAAGTCTGTTGAACTAAATTGCTGGGGTGGCTATTTATATTTGATGAGTTGGTTGCAGCCAAGGGAATCTTCCAGTCAGTCAGTTAAGGGACCTCTATGCAAATTGACTGTGTTCGTTTGTTTTTTGAAAGTAACTTCAAGTACCAGGATATTACTGACCTTCAGAAAAAAGAAACAAAGTTCTGGTGTTCCAAGGAATTAAAATCAGACTTATGGGATCTAAACTGTATGTGTATATATTTGCACTGGAAGCCTTAATTTTCTTGTCACAGCACTAAATATTGTTGAGATTTGGATTTCTGGTAATGACATATTGACTCCGTAAAGGTGAAACCACGTTCCCTCTGATCCCTGAGTTTCTGTAATTGAAGGTTAGCTAGTGCAGCAGAGAACTCATTCTCCATATTCATTAGGCACTGCATCCTCGAGTTTTACATCCTGAAATATTTCTTGGTGCCATGTCTCTTCTTCTCCTTTCCCTCTGCCTCTGTTCCATTGCAGATCTTCATTCTTTCCTTTGGACTTTGCATTCTGTCCTGGGCCTCCCCTTTCTCCATTCTGGCCATGACCAGAGTGCATCTTCTAACACATCAGTCTGATTCTCTCTCTCTCTCTCTTTCGTCAAGAAGCTCCTGACAGCACTCCTGTGCTAAGCCCATTAAGTGGATGATCTGAATTAATCTTCACCGCAACCCTGTGTAATAGTAAAAAGCACTGTTATCCCCCTGTCAAAGATGAGTTAAAGGGAGTTATGTGACATAGCCAGCTCAGCTTTTCGTTACTCTGCTGGCTGCCTTTCCCTTTGTTGCCTGTGTGGATGACTCTTGGTAGCTGTATTAGTTTGTTAGGGCTGCTGTAACAAATTACCACAAATTGAGTGTCGTAGAGCAATAGAAATCTGTTGTCTTGCAGTTCTAAAGCCTAGAAGTTTGAAGTCAAGGTTTTGGCATGCTTCCTCTGAAACCTGCAGTGAAAGGCGACATCTTTTTCTCCTTCTGGCTTCTGTGGTTTGCGGTCATGTTTGCCATTCCTTGGCTTATAGATGCCTCCCTCCAGTCCTTCATCCTCATGTGGCCGTGCATATCTCTGTGTCAACATTTTCACCTTTTCTGAGGACACCAGCTATGGCATCCTTATAAAAGTACTAGGGCCCACCCTAATGTCCTCATTTAACTTGATTACCCATGTAAAGACACTATTTCCAAGTAAAACCACCTTCAGAGGTATTAGCACTTCAACATATCTTTTTTGGGGGACCCAATTCAACTCATTAAAATAGGTCTCTTCTATGAATGGTGACAACCCAGAATGATGCAGCCAGCATTAACTTGGGCAATTAGATTTTTGCTTTTTAAAATTGAAAGAAATAAATTATAGGTATGTTGTCAGCTAGGAAGTAGGAATAGGTTTTGCTTATAGTTATTCTCTTAGGATAACAAGCATGGAGGAGGAGGCACAGGAAGGCAGGGAATGTCTTTCCTTTGTCAGGCTGTGATGTGGTTGCTCCGTGGACAGCTGACCCCTCTTATTTGATAACCAGGAGGGACTGCAGCAAGCTCTTCCTCCTTGTGTGTGGGTAGAAGCATTTCTTTGAAGCAGACAGCTCCCCCATCTCTAGAGTCCTGTGGGCTTCATCCTGCCCCCTAAGGAGTGAACTTTCACTTCCCACTTTGTATAGTTCAAAGGTTCATATAGTGTTGGGGTGGGGGAGAGAAAAGGTGCTGTGAGGGGAGAAGCAAGGGGGAAGTGGATCAAAAATAGCAGTACCTAAGGAGTCATTTCCCATAGAAAAATGGACAATCCAGGCAGGAGACCAAAGGAGGTGAAAAACAGTAAATATTAGTAACTCCCTGCCTTTGGGCAGCACTTGTGGCTATGCCCAGGTGCCATCTTAGCGAGCTGTTTGAGAATATTTAATTACCCTGAGCAAGAGAGGCTCTGTTTAAGAGAAGGATAAATCAGAGTTAATAGGAGGAATGACCTTGGAATTAGCTGCTTATCTTCTGCGTTATTCTCAAGTTGAGGGTGGTAGTGTACCTTGGAAAAGCACTGGGGTAGGGCATTCACAGACAGCAGGGAGGGCTGAGATAAGAAGAGGGAAGATAATTTTCATGGTGAATGCTGGGACTAGGTTTGGCAGAGGCGCCCCTTCTCGTCTATAGTTGGTGTCATTTAGAAGGAAAGGTATGGGTCTTCCTCTCAAAAAAGTATTTTGTATTGAGTGAGCCCAAAGCCTTTGGCTGCCTTTGAAGAAAAGCATTCATTATCAGTCTCCAGTGGCTCGATGGGGTTTAACACTCATTCACTGATTTATGTTAAGGGTCGATATATGGTGCCAGTAGATAGTTTTATAGCCAGAGGACCCAGCAATGCCCGCTCTCCCACCACTCATGAGAGTCTAAGGGGATAGACTGGCTGGGGACAATGGCAATGGGAAGTTAAGGGCTATATGGTCATAATCTGGGTTTTATCTTCACAGTGCCCAGCTCTTTGATTAAACTGGGCTGGCCTGCCTGCTGAGCTTAGGTCTAGTGCTGTATACCTTTGTGCTTAGCATTCCTGCTGCAAACAAGGCAGAGTAGGGGGAGGGTGGGCGGGAAGAGATTCCTTGGCATCACATATTAGGGCTGCCACTCAGAAAAGGAGAGCTAGGTGAAAATAAGTGGGATGGGATTGTGTTTAATAAGTAAAGGTATGTTCATTTAGGGACTGAAAAATCTAAAGACAATAATGTAAAATAAAGCAAATGTGTCTTGGTATAATGTGGTACGGCAGGTCAGGGACGTCAGAGTGGACCCCTCAGACAATGTGGGTCAGCCTTGAGAAGCTGAAGTGAATGGGATATCTGTGGAGCTGAGCTTGTGACAGAGGTGAGGCGCTGGCCTTTCCTAAATCTTGTTCGGGCTTTTATTATAAACCTTTCTTCAGGTTGAAGTTTGGAACTGAGGGAAGATGTGTAGAACTTGAGAAGGGGCCAGGAAAGCATAACAACGGTGAGGTTTGGATGTAAACTCTGAGAGGAAGGACCACAGGAATGTTGTTTATTTAGTTTGGAGAAATTGAGGGCTGGCAGGGGCTCATGGTGGGGACATTAATAGTTTTTAAGTATATGAAGGCATGTGGTGAGCATTGTGGTGAACAGATGTTTTCACCATTCACTAAAGACAAGGCGAAACAATGAAACGGGCTTACCTTTTAGCCTGAGGGATTTAATTGAGAATTTAGGGAAACCACCATAAGTGAAAATGTGGGGACATGGAAAGATTTTACTGAAGGAATCCATAGTGTTTACTTTTGAGTAGTTTTGGGGAAAGCACAGAAACACACTTCAGTTGAAGTGTAATCTGGGTGATTTTCTTTGATTTGACTTTGTTAGACTGCAGACTCGGGACACCCCACTTCCTTTTCTCCCTTCATCTTCTGTGTGATAACCTGATACTACAAATGCACTTTTAGGAAACTGAGTCAGAACTCTGGTCTTTGGTTTCTGAGGAAATGATATTCTCAGGAGGTGGTAAGGCTCACAGGGCAAGGGCACAGGGGTTGGTGCCAAAGAGACCTGGTTTCAAGTTCTGGCTGCCACTTGCTGTGTGTTTTGGGGCAAGTTCTTAGCCTCTCTGAACCTGCTTCCTCATTATTAAAATGGGGATAACTGGAGTGCTTAGGTCATGGGATGTTGTGGGTATTCACTCAGACAGGGCATGGAAGGGCATAGTGCCTGGCACACAAGTGGTGCTCTTTAAATGTCAGCCATTATTATTCTTTATTTTAGACTTTAAACCAGTGTTGGGAGCTCAGCTACAGCTACATAATACCTCTTTGCAACCCGGTTATGTGACCTTTGCCTTTCTTCCTTCATTACAGCTGTTGGCCTTCCTGCAAGGACTCTTCACTTTCTATCACCATGGTTATGAACTGGCCAAGGATTTCGGCGACTTCAAGACACAGTTAACCATTAGCATACAGAACGTGAGTGGGCATAGGGACAGGCTTCCTTTATCAGGTTAAGGAAAAAACGAAGTATGGGCCTGATTGCCCATGGAAACCATCCATGTGAATTGGAACGTAGGTGAGGATGGGTCTTGCTTAGGTTCAGAGGGAAACTAGGGGCAGGTGTTTCTAGAGTGCTTGGTGGTTCTGAGTTAGACCATCATCCTCTTCTCCATTATTTCAAAGCCCTATTTATGTTCTCGGAAGTCCTGCTTCTGATTATGTTTCAAATCTGTAGCATCAGAGTCAGGATTTCCTTTGGCAGTGGGAATCCCAGTCCAGCCCAGCCTCCATTCTATGCATCTAGCTGCCTGGCTACATGAGACCGTGTGGAGTGTGTGTTCTGGGGATGGGGATGAAGATGGAGGTGGGGAACATATGCTGGCCTCCAGCTCAAAGGATGTGCTGTTGTCCAACTCTTAGGAAAGCTGGCAGGAAATCCAAGTCAGTGTGCTTCACTCCCAGTGTGGTCAGCATTCCCAGTTTTAAACACAGGACCTTTTGGTGCACAGGATCCTGTGTAGGGCTTTTTGGTGAGCAGTTACTGGGGCTCAAGCCCACTTTTTCACTGTGGGATTGGACCATGTTATTCTTCATATTTTCTTTGTCTCTAGGTGATCTTGTGTCCATGTGGGTTGTACTGCATGGCTTTTAGAAACCTGGAGCTTACATAGTAGTCTGTGTTGTCTCAGAGAATAGGAAGTTGTAGAATCTTGGAAAAGGTTTCACAAAGCATGGCTTCCCCTTAGGCCGGGTTCCTCAGAATGCAGGCTCTGAAATCGAGGTTGACATGCAGTAGGCTTGCTGGAGGTGGGGGCAGTGCTGGTGAAAACACCTGTGAGAGAGTGAGGGTACCTGGACTCGCAGAGGGGGGAAAGAGAACTGTGAAGCAGATGCAGCAGACATCCAGTGCTGGGGGCGGGGGCTCTGGAGCTGGGATGATCCTTCACAGTCGCCCTGAATATAAGCAAGGGGGCCCGGCTCTCGACCCCTTCTGCCTTTCCCCCGGCCTTGACTAGTCTTTGGGTGCAGGCCGGCCTTGAGTGAGGGAACTTCCTTTTAAGGAAGTACTCATCTGTGAGCCATCAGCAAGTAACCATTCACGGCAGCTAGAGAAATGAATGCCTAGGTCCTTAAGTCATACAGGACCCTACAGCATCTGAATCAGAATCACCTGGGTTGCTTATTGTAAAACATGCTTTTTGATGTCCAGAAGTCCTGAATTGATCTGTAGGAGTGAGGGCTGGGCATTTGCATTTTCTATAGATCCCTAAGTGATTTTGATGGTCACTAGAATTTGAGAGTCATTCTGATATAGGACTTTAAGGCCAAAGTATACTTCTGATAAGTGAGTATTTGGCCAGTTCCTAGGGGGTTGAGTGTACTTTATCTTGTTTTAGATCTAAGGATTCTATTAGGTTGATCTTCTGGATTGTTAAAATAGATACTTCATTTCTTTGATTTGAATAAAATTCCTTTCATCCTAGACAAGAAATCGCTTTGAAGGCACTAGATCAGAAGTGGAATCACTGATGAAAAAGATGAAGGAGAATCCCCTTGAGCACAAGACCATCAGTCCCTACACCATGGAGGGATATCTCTACGTGCAGGAGAAACGTGAGTGCTTTGACTAGCAACAGCTTGGGATGTACTCAAGCCTCTTACTTAGAAGTTGGAGGGTGTATCCAGCAGTGCCTGCCTTACTGTGAATAAATGCTTGAATAAACAAGAACAGTTTTATAGTTCATCTTTCCAAAGGGAAAGATGATGTCCACAGAATCTTATCTACCTTTGTTTTTCTTTGTGACTGTGAATTTCCTTGGGAACCTGCAATTTCTTGAGGCTCTGTGGTTGCTTTTCTCTTTCTAGTGTTATTCTGCTCTTGAGGATCCTATTCCCCTAGTACAGCTTTATATTACCATACCCTGAGCATAGTGGCCTTGGAATGGTCTTCCATGCTAGGCCCCTGTTGTCTTATCAGTGGTGTATCTTTTGGTAGACTTAATACTTGGTGATTCTGTTGTCATTTGACATTGTTTCAGCAAGGCCCAAACAATCATGCCTTAGCCCTTTCTCTCTTCTCCTCAACTCCTTTCATCCTAACACTTGAATTTTATGAAAAGTGTAAACAAAGGCTCACTTGAAGAGACAGGAAGAAGGCTGGATATGATGGCTCATGCCTGTAATCCCAGCACTTTGGGAGTCTGAGTTGGGGAAATCACTTGAACTCAGGAGTTGAAGACCAGCCTGGGCAACATGGTGAAAGTCTGTCTCTAAAAAAATACAGGCCGGGCACGGTGGCTCACGCCTGTAATCCCAGCACTTTGGGAGGCCGAGGCGGGTGGATCACGAGGTCAAGAGATCGAGACCATCCTGGTCAACATGGTGAAACCCCGTCTCTACTAAAAATACAAAAAATTAGCTGGGCATGGTGGCACGTACCTGTAGTCCCAGCTACTCAGGAGGCTGAGGCAGGAGAATTGCCTGAACCCAGGAGGCGGAGGTTGTGGTGAGCCGAGATCGCGCCATTGCACTCCAGCCTGGGTAACAAGAGCGAAACTCCGTATCAAAAAGAAAAGATGTCAATAAAAAAAAAACAAAAAATTATCTAGATGTGGTGGTGTGCACCTGTGGTCCCAGCTACTTGGGAGGCTGAGGCGGGAGGATTGCTTACAGGGATGAGCCTGTTGAAATTTATGAGAGTTCGGGAGGTAGAGGCTGCAGTGAGCTGAGATCACTGCCACCGCACTCCAGTCTGGGTGATAGAGCAAGATCCTGCCTCTGAGAAAAAAACAAAACAAAGCAAAAAACCAAGAGAAGACTCATTACTCTGCTGAAGATGTCTAGGAAAGGAATGTCAGGTGCTGCTAACATGGACATTTTCGTGATGACTCACAAGTTCATGTGTTACGCCTGGGGAAAGGCTTTTTGATAAGGCCCGTGTGTTTAGGGTAGCTCATCCAGACTTAATTCATGCATGCAATGCTAGGAATTAAAGAAAGTGAATGTTTGTTCTTTAATGGGTAATTCTTCTCCTAGTCTTCTACCCAGCTTTCTTGGTAGAGAACTTTGGTCTTTCCAGATTTTTGCTGGCTTTGTGTTCTTTCACGTCCTTTGCTTGATTTAGAGTTAGGCAGATGTCTTCATTCCTAATAGCTTCTTGATGGAATAGAATAGAAATACTTGGTTTCACTAAGTATTCTGTTTAGTAATTACTCAAAAATTTGCTTGGACTTAAGTTTACTGGTAACAGTGATGCTGCAGTGATGTTGGAGATATTAGCTGTGATGAGGATTATTTTCCTTATTCTTACAGGGATGAGCCTATTGAGGTTTATAAGAAATGTAACTACTTCAGCTGTATGTTTCATATATATCTGAATACAAAGTGACCCCCTTTTTGCCCAGTAAGAAGATCCCTCCAAAACGTTTTAGGTCTACTTGAAAATATACATTTTTAGGACTATAAAAATATAGTTCAGGCCAGGAGCAGTGGCTCAAGCCTGTAATCCCAGCACTTTGGGAGGCCGAAGCGGGCAGATCACGAGGTCAAGAGATCGAGACCATCCTGGCCAACATGGTGAAACTCTGTCTCTCCTAAAAATACAAAAATTAGCTGGGCGTAGTGGCATGCACCTGTAGTCCTGGCTACTTGGGAGGCTGAGGCAGGAGAATCGCTTCCACCCGGGAGGCGGAGGTTGTAGTGAGCTGAGATCATGCCACTGCACTCCAACCTGGAGACAGAGTGAGACTCCGTCTCAAAATAAAAATAAAAACATAGTTCAAAGTCTACCTATAATACTTAATTTGTTAATATATCATTGACTTACATATATAAAATCCGTGTTGCTTTTTTGCAGTCTCATATTACATCACACACTTTTATTCAGACACTTCACATGTTCTTTCAACATTAGTGTGTTGATTATCATGAGAACACTTTGTTCCCTAACACAGTCCAGAGCACATGGTGGGGATACAGCATTTTTTTTTTTATTTTAAATTTTTTATAGCTTGTTATTTTGAAATTATTTCAGGCATACGGAAAAGTTGCAAGAATGGTGTAAGGAACAACCATAAACCCTTTACCCAGTGCACCAATTTTTAACATTTAGCCACAATTATATTAGTCCTTCTCTTTCTCTGTGGCTGTGTGAGTATGCACATCATAGATGTGCATAAACACACATACACACTTTTTTCTGAGCCATTTGAGAATATGGTTGCATATACCATGCTTCTTTACTTCAGTAGTGAGTATTTTCTAAGCACAAAATGTATTCTTTTAAGTAACCACATCTGTTAGGTTGATGCAAGAGTCATTGCAATTTTAGCCATCACTTTAAATGGCAAAACCACAATTACTCTTGCACCAAACTAATAATAAATTTAACATTGCCACAATATTTAATCTGAACTATAGCCCATGTTCCAATTTTACCACTTGTACCAATAATGGCCTTATAAAGCATGTTGTTGTTCTCCAGTACAGAACCTCATCCTGCATTTAGTTGTCATGACTTTAGTCTCCTTTAATCTGGAACATTTCCCCAGCTTTTCTTTGTCTTTCATGACATTGATGTTTTCGAACAACATAGGCTAGTTCCTTTATACAGTTTTCTTCAGCATGGGTTTGTCTGGTGTTTCTTATGATTAGACTTGGATTATGCATCCCTGTTCAAATCCTACATAAGTGTTCTTCTTTGGGGCCACATCTGGACACATGTGGTGTTGATCTGTCCCTCAGAGGTGATACAAATTTTGATCACCCAGTCAAGGTATTGTCTTGTTTCTCCACTATATGGTCGCTATTTTCCCCTTGTAACTAATTAGCAATCCGAAGGTAACACCTTAAGGTCATGTAAATACCGTTCTCCTTATCACACTTTACCTCCATACATTTAGCATCCATTAACCATCCTTGCCTGAGCTGATCTTTACTATGATGGTTGCAAAATGGTGACTTCTCAGTTCCACTAATCCCTCCACACTTAACAGTTGCCATTCAGTGTACTTACGCAAGGAAGAGTCATTCCTGCTCCTCTTTTTTCCCCCCTACCTCCCTTCCTGCTATCTCCATCCATCCATCCGTCCATCCATCCATTATCCATCTTTCCATTGTCAGTATGGATTTATGGATTCCTATTTTATTCAAGAGGCTATAATTTATCACTGTCCTTATTTATCTTGATGCTCAAGTTGTCCAAGATACATTGCTTTGGAAATTTTGTGTTGTTTGATTGCTGGAATGTTTTCCCTTATCTGTAAGAATACACTAAGATGGTTTGTATTTTCATTTGTCCTTGATGCCCCAGTGGAAATACTTACTGTACTGCTTTTTAAATTTACTAAAGGACATCTAATACTTGCAATCGGCAGTCATGCCATACCATTAATAATTATTAAATGTTTGCTAATTATGTTTAAAAACAATTTTTAAACAATTTTTGCTATGTGATCTCTGTAAGCATCTAGAAGTAACATTGGTTGAAGTTCTTTGCAGGCTGACTAATACCTTCTTATTGTAATAGTACTTTGTTGTTTCAAGTAATTTGCTGAGCACTGAGTAAAATCAGATACTTGGTCAGAACACGACTGTGTGGCACCTCCCTTGAGGTGACATACTAATCTTGAGGGACATACTTCTTAGAGGTTACATCTGGGTGTTGACAGTCACTTCCACTCTGCATCTCTGGTGTCTCTGAGGTCTCCTTGTCTGCTTTTCAGATCTTGAGTTCTGCCAAAGTAACTTAGGGGTTTGGAAGTAGGTCAGAACCCCTGATGTCTGTGCATAGAGTCACAGAGCAGCTGTGTGGGAAGCATGATATCATCGCAACAGATGGGAATGGTCACAAGCTCTTGGAGGAGCCTTCCTGCGTTCTCTCCTTAATCATCTTACTTCTGCCTGGGAAGAGAGTGGAAACTTCAACTGGGGCTTGATGATGGGAACGTGGATTAATTTCCCCAGGGAACCTCTACTTTCCTTGTATTTTAAGACCCACTGGTTATAGTAATAGTGGGAAACAGTCTTCTTTGGTCCCTGGGGGAAATGCCTGGGTTGGTTTCATTTGAGCCTGTGAGATCAAATTTCTGTCCATTCTAGCTGGTGTGGAGAATATATTATTCCTAAAACAGTTAAGGGTAAATGAGCATTATGAATTATGGGTTGTGGTTTTTCCAGCTCATGGCGTGTAGCATACAGTGGAATGTATAGATGCTTTATGGGAAATATTACTTTGCAGGTCACTTTGGAACTTCTTGGGTGAAGCACTACTGTACATATCAACGGGATTCCAAACAAATCACCATGGTACCATTTGACCAAAAGTCAGGAGGAAAAGGGGTGAGTTCATTTTTAAAGTTTTATGCTTACCTTGCTTGGCTAACATATAATGATTATAATGCACATAGAGAGTAACAGCTCCAGTGTTCCATTTATGTTTCATTATAAAATTAAAATTAATAATTTTTAATATTTTTATACAGTAGTTCCAGGAAGCCTAGGAGGCTGAAGAATCACTAAAACAAGATGATTACTCTTAGCTCTAAGTTATTTTAGGAACTACAATTAAGAAATATTTTTATATTTCACATGCATACAATATCAAGTGTGTCAAATATTTTTACATGCTAAAAATTACTGGATGACCTCATCCTGTGAAACTGATTCAGTGCCATTCCCACTTGATACCTGGAGAGCTGCCAGCGGCAGTGTAGATGTCGTGGTTCCCTATTGCCGTGTAACAGGTCACCCCAAAACCTGGCAACATTTAAAACAACACCAATCATTTTAGTATTTCTCACCATTTCTGTGGGTCAAGAATTCAGGGGGCATTTGGATGGGTGGTTCAGGCTTGGGGTTTCTCATAAGGTACTAAGCAGATGGTAGCTAGGGCTGGAACAAGGAGGGTCTGGACAGCTCAAGCTGGTCAGATGCAGCTGTTTTCTTCTCTCCCGTCTCCTTTTCTTCCCTTTTCCCTCTTTCTCTGCATACTCCCAGGGCCTCGGCACCTGGTCTCTCTCTGTTAGCAGATTTGAGCTTCCTCACAGTATGGTGGTCTCAGGGCAGTGAAAGGTTTTAGGAGTCAATGTTCTAAAAACTAAAGTGAGACTGCATTGCCTTTTCATGACTTAACCTCAGAAGTCACAGAGCCTTACTTTTCCCTATTTCTTGGTTAATGTGGCCACAGAAGCCCTCCCAGTTTCAATGGGGAAAGAGGTAGACCCTGGCTCTCCATGGGAGTGGTATCAAGGTCTCATTGTATGAAGAGCCTGTGGCATGGAAGATGATGTGTGGCTATCTTTGGAAGAGACAGTTGGGCACGTATGGCTCCCCGGTGTCCCTGCTGTTGGGCAGCTTCTTAAATGCTCCTAGTTCTTCCTTCCTCCCAGCTGTTGTGTCTTGCCTCCTGCTGGTCCATCTCCTCAGAGTGCTCCCATAGGCCACATGCATTTCTGTGGAGGTAATCTTTTTGCTTTGCTCCTAATACTTTATTTTCTTCCTCTGATATTTTGCATTTCATTATGATAGGCCTAGCTTTGATTCTTTTCTTTTTTCATCTATTGCTTGGGAGTTTTTGGCTTTCCAGGATTTGAGATTTGGTCTCTTCCAATAACTCTGGAAAATTCTCACCAGTTATCACTTTGAATTTTGCCTCCTCCTCATTCTGTTATTTCCTTCTGGAGATATTTAAAGGTTTTCATAAAAATATTTACATGGTTCATCTCTTTGAGTCTCTGGACTATATTCTGAATAATTTCTCTTACTCTGTCTTAAGCTTAAGTAGTTTTTCATTTGTGTTTAATCTGTTGATAAATTAGACCAAGCATTCCACCTCGGTCCTCTCTGAAGTGCGTTTTTATGCAACATGTTGAGTTTGTGTGTGTGTGTGTGTGGTGGGGGGACCATTATATGGTGGGGGTTAGGAACACTGGCTTTGCTCTCACTCTGCCTGGGTCAGTGCTATTAGGTGCTGTTGTCATTACTGTTAGGTACTTAGCCACGTTGTGCCACATGTTTTCTTCTGCTTCCAGTTTTTCTTCCTGGCTTTCTTTTACTTAAGCCACAATAGAGAAGTTTATCAGTATCTCTGTTCCTTCCCTGAATCAAAGCAATAACAAAGCCCTTTTAATGTTTCTTGGCAGGGACAGGATTGATTTATAAATAATCTCAGGCAAACAGATGTTAAAATGTCATAAGAGAGAAATTACAGTTAGAAGGAATATTAAAAACCTATGTTACTAAGTGTCCCCTAGTTTTCATGAAATGGAAAGAGAGTTGGGCCTGCTTTCCTTGGATTGAGCCTTAACCCCTTCCCAATTCTTAGTCCTTCTGGAAATCAACTTCACCGAAGTGTTCTCTCACACAGTCTATTTACGGGCTTTTTATCTTGGGCTTTCTCAGACCTTTAATGAAGAACTGTTTTGTATTTCCTCTATTCCTTTCTTATCACACTTGAAAGTGAAGGGTAGAAACCAATTAGAGTGCATGTTTGGTTCTCAAACTTTGGAGAGAGAATAGAAAGCATGTCATTGGGTAGTTAAGAGGTTTATGTGGATTTGTATATATAAATTTTTTGGAACAAATCCTGACACATAATGACTGCAATATTAGAACCTTGTTATTATAAGAATTAATTTTCCTAGTAATCCCTTACATTTATATTATGTTTTATATTTTTCTACATCCTTTTATTATTCTATATTATCCTGTTTGATCCAATTTTTCTCCTTTTACAAAGGAGGATATTGAGATTAGGAGAGATAATATGATTTCTAAGTCATTTAACTAACAAGTTACAGAGCTGCTGCTCACAACCTCTTTCCACAGTCTGAATCTCCTGATTCTGAAGTCATTATACTTTCCATGACATCACTGTTTCCTCAGTGTTAGGGTGAAGGAAATATGAGGACTGACTGTCTAGTGGTGATGTCTTTTTGATTGTGCAGAGGAATCATGTGATGTTGTTGTATACATTTAAAAAAAATAGAGACTGAGTCTCACTATGTTGCCCAGGCTGGTCTCAGATACCTGGTCACCTCAGCCTTCAAAGTACTGGGATTACAGGTGTGATCTGCCATGTCTGGCCTGTATACATATTTGAACAAAGCTCACCTAGGAGCTAGAGGTATATAGAACATAGATAAATAGATAAAATAAATATCTTTTAACCTAGATAATTGGGTATTTTCCTAACATGCTTTGTCTCCACCTGTCATGTCTCCTCACTGTCCCTTTTATTTGGATCATTTTGCTTTCAAAGTACTCACTGAACAGACCTGGCTTCAGGTCTGGACTTGTGAGCAGATTTGCCACATCCTCCTGGAGACCAGAATCCATATGTGATAAAGAATTTCCCTGCATTCTATGCTCTGAGCTGGGGCACCTCTGCAGGTCTGGAGCAGCCCAAAACTAACCCTATCCCTTCTTTTGATTCAAACCCTTCTTTATTTTCCTGCTGTTGTCAGGACAAAAATGAGAATCCTGCACGGTCTAGCCACTGCCCCTCCTCAAACCTTTCTTCTGTCCATTTTCCCTACTCTGGGCTTCTAGTCAACTGGCTGCCCTCCTGTTTCTCCAAGCCTCAGCAGACCCTGACCCCAGGGCCTGTCCACCTGCTCCATTCCTCCTCCTTTCCTCCTTATTTTATCTATGAATTCTTTTAGTTTCAGCTCTAGGAAGCTTTTCCTAACCTTTCTGACCAGGTCAGATCTCCTTAACTTAGGATTTTGTAGTACAACCTGACTCCTTTTTTAAAAATAGAATTTGTTGTGGTTATAACTTTTCATTTATTTGTTTAAGGAATGTCCATGTTCCCCACTTTTTAAAGCAATCAGAACAGACCATCTTTATAGATTTTTGCTTATATGGTATGGTCCTCCTTGGACCAGAATCTTAATCATCTTCTTTCTGCATGTATTTGATGGTCCTTTATGTTTCCCTGTTCCCTACCATTTCTCTGGGACACCTCATGTAAGTTTACCAAGTTGAAGCTGATCCATAGCCTTTAAATTGGATGTATAGTTAGGCATCGGCAAAGTTAGAATCTCTGATGTTCTGGTGTTTGCACTCAGATATTTTACAGATCAGAGAAAGAGCAGTTCTGTCTGAGAAATTAATGTTTGCTATTCAGTGGAAGACAATAGATGTAAGGCCTGTGAATATAAACTGTCTCCTCCTAGGTCTTCTGTGTTTTGTTTGCTATTCTGATATTAGTGGGTGGTTAAGTTTTACCTTATGTAGCCACACTTTCTGTGATTTCAACAAACTAGGCAAGCTTGCTAATTTCCCCCCTTAGTTTAGATAAAAAAAAGATTGACAGAGGCAGGAGAAACAGAAACCCTAACAAATTCCTAAGGACAGCAAGAAGAAACACAGCAACTTCTGTGTTTCTAGGCAATAAACTAGTGCTGTGAGTTGAAATCGTTACATTGAATTGGATGATGGAATACTACTCAGCAATAAAAAGAAATAAGCTCATGATATGCACAGCAGTACGGATGAATAGCAAAGCAATTATGTTGAGTGAAAGAAGCCAGACAAAAAGAGCACATACGGTATAGTTCCATTTATATAAAATTATAGAATATGCAAACTGTAGAGGCAGAAAGCAGATTCAGCAATTGCTTGGGGATGTACTGGGAGGAGGGATGGATTGCCAGGGGATACAAGGAAAGTTTTGGGGGTGATGGAATTGTTTGCTGGCTTGGTTGTTGTGATGTTTTTATGGGTGTATGTGACATCAAAATCTACAAATTGTACAGTTCAACATGTACAGCTTATATATTAATTATATGTCGTAAAGTTGTTAAAATGTATTTATCAGCAGCTATTCTGTTCTAGGATCCAGTTGGGCTCAGGAGACAAGAGTAGGCAAAAACTGAGCTAGTCTCTGTTCTCTGGGGGCTTTTGGTCTAAGACATTATTGTATTTATCGCCTATATCAATGCACAGTTTCAGCTTTGGTCAGTGCTATGACAGAGGGAGAGGTATCTGGTGCTATGTGAGCACGTACTGGGGATATTTGTCCTGGTCCAGGAAGGTTTTCTTGAAGAAGTAATGACCGACCCAAGATCATAGAAGCCCAGAGTTGGGAGTAGACCATCTTCTTCTACACCTATCAAACCTGCAAATTAAAACAATGTCAGCACTCGTTTATCTACCATGGACTGATGCGGTGTCATCGTGATCCACCTGTACAAAAGATGTTTGGTTCCAGGTCTGACATGGTGTACAAGTGTAAGCTGCATGAGACGTTTTCCTGGAAAGGTTTATAATCATCCTTTCTCCACCTGTGGTCATGAATGCTCAGATCTGAGAAGACGAAATGATTGCTCTTGTTTACATGTCATGTGTGTCCTGGAGAGGAGTAGAGCTCCCATTCTAGCCTCATCTTGATGGTCTGTGTGTTCCCACTAGGGAGAAGATGAATCAGTTACCCTCAAATCCTGCACACGGCGGAAAACAGACTCCATTGAGAAGAGGTTTTGCTTTGATGTGGAAGCAGTAGACAGGTGAGTAGCTGGCATGCTTTTCTCAGGAGCAAATAGAGCTGATGTTTCATTTCTTACTTTTTCTTTTCAGCCAAAGCTTTTCTGCTGTTTTTCCCTTCTCCCCCTCCCTCCTTCCTTTCCTTCTCCATCCCATCATCTACGTCCAGGATGCTGGATCCAGCACCCTGGATTGCTAATTTGCAAGAATCATTAGAGCCTTCCAGTCTGTTGGGTGCAGCACTGCATCATGCTCTTGGTTTTGTTTTACTTTAATGTTAATGCTTTCATGCTCAGAAATGTGTGTTAGGTCTCCAGGAGGTTGAGCAGACGTTTAAAGAAAACGATTTAGCTTGATTGTATCAGCTATCTGAATTTTTTTTCTTTTAACTTAAAAAGTTAGTATAATGATTCGAAAGGAATTGGAATGGAAGACATTTTTCTCAAATAAAAAAACAGCTTTTAGTTACATTTCACCTACTGATGTGTGTGCATGCCCAGGAAAGACACCAAATCACTTGCAAAATCACAATTTTTTGGAGAGAGAGCCGTGTGTTGTATTCCTCAAGATTTATAGAGTCTCTCATTAAGTTGTACCATTTCGTGGTGTTAAGCTAGTTTGACAACATTCCAATTCTTTAAGACACTTTACTTGGCAACAGGTTAATTCTTTCAATGAAACCCACGTGTTAAGCTTATTTGAGCTGCCTGTTGAAGATCAGTAATGCTAGCACCAAGATCCTTAAATTTCAGCATGATACACTCCATATAATGCTGTTTAATCTCTCCCCCTTACTAAAAAAATGCTATATCATTTTGTCAAGCCAGTACTTACCTCTCCCTGGGAAGGTCACCTGTGGCCACCTTGCCCTGGCTCTGTGGCATCCTGAGACTGAGTACTGCCTGGGGTATGCTCCTTGTGGGCTGACAGGTGCACAGGCAGATGTGCACTGCCTTCTTGTGGCAGGTGTCTACTCTGCACTGGAGGCTGTTAGGGCTCCCATGGAGAAAGCATGCTCTGTTAGCCTGTATCAGAAGTTCATGGAAAATAATTGTATGTCTCAAGTAATTTAGTGATTAAACCTCTGGCTTTCAAGCCAGACAACCATGGTTCAAATTTTGACTTTGCTACTGAGTAGCCATGTGACTTTGAACAAGTTACTTAATCTTTCAGAACCTTGATTTTCTCGTCTGGAAAATGAAGTTCCCAGGATGGTTATAAGGATTCAAGGAAATAATGCATGTAAAATACTTGGCAGAGCAGGAGATAATAAGTGCTCAACAAGTATTAGCTCTTATTCTTTTTTGCGAACTAGCTTGTCCTGCATGCTTATCAGACTTGAGATTTCACTTCTAAACCCAGAAAAGTACATATAATCTGTAAAGAAAAGAAAGTGTCCTGACCCTTTACTGTGTATAGAGGTGTGAGAGGGGAAGGTAAAGAAGAATAGCATGGGTGCCGGGTTGGGGGTAGGTTGAATTAGGGTAGCAAAGGGGAATTGCAAACAGCCTTCCCCAAACCAAATTTGGTTATTATTGGTTTTAAACAAATCCTAAACCTTGGTGTTTTAAGCATCTCTCTTCTCTTTTCTAAGCATGTGATTTAAGGGAATTCATATTACTGGCATCCTTGAAGGAGGTTCAGCGGAACTATTTGCATGGAAGTGCAGCCAGCTGTGATGCCCATCAAATGTACACTTCCTAGAGATAACCGTCTGCTGCAGAGCTGCTTCCAAGAGGGCATGCCTTGTGTTGCAGCTCTCTGTCAGATTTAAAGCAAGCCCACACTTACTTTATGAAGCTGAATTATTTTTGTGTTTTCTTCTTCAGAAGTTTCCCAAGAAGTTGTGGAGAGTGGCTTTTTAGGTGATCAAAGCTCACTTTGATCCATCTCATTTCTACCCTTGCCAACACTTCTAGCACCTTCCCCCCTTTATAACTCCCACAACAGCTGTGCCTGTCCCAATCATAAGGCAAGAGTGGATGTTTCACGTTCAGCATATGGAGTGGGCTTGTAAGTCAATCGCTCCTGAGTTTCTGTCCCTGGTTCCCTCTGCATGGCATGAAGGGATTTTGGTCATGGTTCAGATGAGCCTGCTGTATCTCCTTTTTTTTTTTTGAGACTGAGTTTCGCTCTGTTGCCCAGCAGGCTGGAGTGCGCTGGCAACACCTCGGCTCACTGCAACCTCCGCCTCCTGGGTTCAGGTGATTCTCCAGCCACAGCCTCCAGTAGCTGGGACTATAGGCATGTGCCACCTGGCTAATTTTTTGTATTTTTAGTAGAGATGGGAGTTCACCATGTTGGCCAGGCTGGTCTTGAACTCCTGACCTCAAGTGATCCACCCACCATGGCCTTCCAAAGTGCTGGGATTACAGGCATGAGCCACCGCGCCTGGCCTGAATCTCTTCAGGAGGTGAGTAGACTGTCCTAGGAAACACGTGTGACTTCATTGAGACACATTACCTGAATGAGCAGGTGAAATCCATCAAAGAATTGGGTGACCATGTGACCAACTTGCGCAAGATGGGAGCACCCCAATCTGGCTTGGCAGAATATCTCTTTGACAAGCACACCCTGGGAGACAGTGATAATGAAAGCTAAGCCTTAGGCTAATTTCCCCATAGCCACAGGGTGACTTCCCTGGTCACCAAGGCAGTGCATGCATATTGGGGTTTCCTTTACCTTTTCTATAAGTTGTACCAAAACATCCACTTAAGTTCTTTGTACCATTCCTTCAAATAAAGAAATTTGGTATCCAAAAAAAAAAAAAGTTTTCTATATAGCTCAGAAAGATTAGGTCACAGTACAGCAGGATTTCCTCCTTTCTCCTTTTTTGACCCCAGTGTCTTTCCTTTTTTTCCCTTAATGTTTAGAAGGAGGCCTAGGTAGAGAAGGAAAAGGCATTTGCATGCGCTGGGTAGCTGCATTCCTGGGAAAGGATTCTGCTCAGAATCCTTTTCTCTCGAAGACTCCTATACTTTCCTTTTTCACCAGTCTCCTTTAGCGAGGAAGTGATTACTGCTGGATGCCCTGCTGTCCTGTCTTCCACAGGTTCCCCAGCTCCACCTGCTGGACCAGAGAGGCAGAGGGTCAAAATGCAAGTTTAGCACCTAGTAAATGTGGAAGTGAAAGAGGGGATGGTTATATTTAACCACATAAGGGTTCGAGGTACTCCCAGAGTATGTTAACTGGAGAATACATAAACTAGTCACTAGTAGTGACTAGTAATATTTTATTCTATCAAGATACAAATACATGTTAAAGTGTGAATTATGTGACATAGAATATGGGATGTTGCAGATTTTTAAGACTGAATCTATTTATTCTTTATATTTAATGCTGACATATCATGTTGTTTTGTATCAAAAGCTTTAGCCTTTACGGTGTGATAGCCTAGGAGGTCCATATTGTGAGTCGATTACCCGACATCAACGTATCTTACTGTGGCAAAAACCACGTGCAATCAGTTACAGGTTCCTGGTGCCTGCCCCAGACACACACAGTTTGACTTTCTGGGATTGAGACAGTAGAATCCACATTTTCAAGCTTTTTAGTTGTCCTTGATTCTTACTAATACTTGGTATGTTAAATACAGTGTGTTTCACAATACAGTTTCATCAGAGCACATGAAAACATTTTCCTAATTTGAAAAATCACGACAAGCAGCTGTAGCAAAACAAAACAAACAAACAAAAACTTCAAGCTTTTTTACTAAGGAGCTGAGTGCTTACCTGTGTGGAGGAGGAGAAGGTAACTACTGGGAAAGGTAATTTCTAGTCTCTGAGGTAGATTACTTGACCAGACAAAAGACAAAAACCGCCACCACATAAAACTCCTGCCTTTTTAAAGGATGTGGAAATGGAGAGAGGCAACTGGTAGTATCAGAGCATCTCCTGTAGGCTGAACACTTTCATCCTTATTTTATGTCATCCTCACTACAACCCAGGGAGGTGGGTCCTCTCTTATTCTCATGCTGCTGAGGAATCTACAGTTTAGAGGGGTGAGGTTGAGGTAGGGTTTGAGCTGAGGTTCACAGGAGCCTGTTCCAAGGCATATTGGTGCCTCAAAACTTGGGATATTTTGTTGTTGTTGAGATGGAGTCTTGCTCTGTTGCCCAGGCTGGAGGGCAATGGCATGATCTCGGCTCACTGCAACCTCCACCTCCTGGGTTCAAGTGATTCTCCTGCCTCAGCCTCCCGAGTAGCTGGGATTACAGGCGCCCACCACCATGCCCAGTTAATTTTGTATTTTTAGTAGAGGTGAGGTTTCGCCATGTTGGCCAGGCTGGTCTTGAACTACTGACCTCAGGTGATCCACCTGCCTTGGTTTCTCAAAGTGCTGGGATTGCAGGCGTGAGCCACCATATCTGGCCAAAACTTTGGATATTTTAGAAACATTTTCCAGTAATGAGCTCAGAGCTGTTGGTGGTTACATTTCAGAGACACCACAGTGTCCAGTTTTCAGGCTGTGAAATCTAGGAAGTGCTATTCTCACCCTATCAGTTGCATTTGGCATTATAAATGAATGGTACAATGAACTGAAGCAGCAAACTCACCTCTCTTCTTACATCTACTCCTCTGTGACCTTCAGAAAGTCCTCATGTGACTAAATTAAAAGAGGCAATACAGATAGAGCATAGTGACAGGCACATGGCACTCAGTAGGTGTTCCATGAATGGTTTTTTGGTTTCTGTACACCCCTTCTTCCACCTTTTATTTATTTGTTTAGAAGTGGGGCCTTCTCGTGTTCCCAGGCTGGAGTTGAACTCCTGGGCTCAAGCGATCTTCCCACCTCAGCTCCTGAGTAGTTAGGAAGATAGTGCACCACTGCCACTGTGCCCAGCTCCACCTTTTATTTTTAAGGCGACATGCCTTTTTTTTTTCTTTTTTTTTAAATCTAGGATGACTAGCATGAATAGGAGATATCCTAGCAGTAGTATCACTTATCAGCTAATTGTTTTCATTGTATCCCAATACATTGCTGTCAGTTTGTTAATCCTCAAATCCCTGACACGTAGGTCCTACAGAAAACTGTTTTCATTCTTTGACCCATAAATGGGCTGGAAATCAAATAAAGTGTTAATCCAGGTCAGTGGGACTTAGAGCTCTTGAACTTTATGTGTCAAGGATCCTTTTTATTTTATTTTACTTATTTGTTTTTGAGATGTAGTCTTGCTTTGTCGCCCAGGCTGGAGTGCAGTAGAGTGTGATCTTGGTTCACTGCAACCACCGCCTCCTGGATTCAAGCAGTTCTCCTGCCTCAGCCTCCTGAGTAGCTGGGACTACAGGCATGGGCCACCGTGTCTAGTTAATTTTTCTATTTTTAGTAGAGACTGGTTTTCATCATGTTTTCCAGGCTGGTCTCTAACTCCTGACCTCAGGTGATCTGCCTGCCTTGGCCTTCCAATGTGCTGGGATTAACAGGTATGAGCCACCACACCTGGCCAAGGATCCTTTTTTAAACCAAATACATCTCTATAAATCTACTTCTAATTCTTATATATCTTTGATGTCTAAAAAGTAGGTAGGCCTATGCTCTCATCTCTGTGTCCTACACCCTTTCATATTGGCTTCTACGTGATTTCAGAGGCCACATCTCATCTAGTTTTTTTTTCTCTAGTGCCTTCCTTTTTTTTCAGAACTAGTTTTGGGGGGAAGTTCAAACCTGAACTACTGAGGACCCTGGGATTATATGGCACAAATGTTTTACAGACTAATACTATCAGCTCTTCATATCCCTGGCTTTCCTTCAAAAGGATTTCATTGTTCCCAACATTGAAAGGCTAAAATTAGTAGAAATTCTTTGTATTTCTTCAATCTTAAACCAAAAACCTGCTTGGATCAAGGTATCATGTCAATCCAATCAACATGATGATTCTTTGAAGTTCCCTTCTGATTTATTTTGAAATTCAGTTTTAAGACTCTAGCATTAAGAATATGATACAGCTTTAAATAAATGTAACTTGTAGTAGTTGTGTGGTGTTGCCACAACATGCTCCAAAGGATAATTTAAAAAATTTTCCTAGCAGGTACTGGCTATAGATTAAATTGTGTCCTTGCCAACATCATATGTGGAAGTCCTAATCCCCAGTTTCTGAAAATGTGGCCTTATTTGGAGATTACTTGATAGAGATAATCAAGTTAAAAATGAGGTCATTAGAGTGGGTCTTAATGCAATATTACCATTATCCTTGTAAAAGGGGGAAATTTTGACCCAGAGATGGACATGTACATGAGAAGAATACCATGTTAACATGAAGGCAGAAGTCGAAGTGATGGACCTACAAGCCAAGGAATGCCAAAGATTGGCAGCAGAGCACCAGAAGCTAGGAGAGAGGCATGGAGCAGATTCTTCCTCACAGATCTCAGAAGGAACCCTTTATCTTGAACTTTTAGCCTCTAGACCTGTGAAACAATACATTTCTGTTGTTTAAGCCAGCCAGTTTGTGGCACTTTGTTACAGCAGCCCCAGGAAACTAACACAGTATTAAATAGAGAGGGCCTCTCTCAATGAAGCAGCACCCATGCACTCAGCAGCCTTTAAAAGGATAACTCAATGCCTACTGCTCGAACAATCCCATTGACAAGGAGCCCGACTTCACAAAGCAGGCCATTCACATCAATTACCTTCTTTCATTTTTTTACATGATGATAGCCCAAGCTTTCATTAGCTTTTTAAAAATCACCCTTTTTTGGCTAGGCGTAATAACTCATACCTGTGATCCCAGCATTTTGCGAGGCTGAGTCAGGTGAATATTTAGAGCTCAGGAGTTCAAGACCAGCCTGGCCAACATGGTGGGACCACATCTCTTCTAAAAATACAGAAAAAACAGTAGACAAGTGTGGTGGCGGGCACCTGTAATCCCAGCTACTCTGGAGGCTGAGGCAGAAGAATTGCTTGAACCTGGGACATGGAGGGGCAGTGAGCCAAGATCGTACCACTATGCCCTAGCCTGGGTGACAGAGTGAGACTCCATCTCCCTAAAATAAAACAAAACAAAGTAAAATAAAAAATCACCCTTTTTATTCTTTAATAAAGCAGCATTCTTGGGGTGCTTTTGTATTACTTTGCCATAGCACCAAGCATTTGAAGGTTTATAATTTATATTGGTTAATTGAATAAAGACTAGATTTATCATTACAAAAATGTGTCAAATCTTTGCGAGGGTTTAGTGTAAAATTTCTGGGTCAAAAGATGGGACATCATTTCAAAGCAGCCGTTAGTGGTAGCAGGATGTGAATTGGTAGTACTTGCTCATGTCTGTGTTCAGTCACTTTGAATAATTAATTCCGTCATGCAGTATCTTAAAGAAATTCATGAGCAAATATAGGGAAAATATTTGTTAAGGCTAAAGATTCATGATACTAGTCATTTTCCAGCATCCCTGGATTTGTTTATTTTTAAGAAATTTCTCACAGATGTAAGTGACACATGAGTATTTTCTCTCAAGTGTTTTCCAGGAGGGTCCGCTAAACCATATGAGAAATAGTAAAAGAACTTCTTCTGACTCCCTGAATCAATGAAGTCTCTTGAGGGTCAGTGTTTACACTGGGGAAAGGAAATGATTATTTTTTTCCAGGATTAGCTGACTCTCACCAATGTCCATACACTTGAAAAGGCTGTGTGTTAAGTGCCCCTTTCCCAGCTCTGATTCTCTCTAGAGGTGGGCAGCAAGGGTAGCTTCTTAGAGATGGCAAGGATATTTAGTGCTAGAGTTGCAGTAAGGGGAAAAGCAAGAATAAACTTGTCTTCATGGAAGTTACC